AGCTTGCCAAGCAATCAAATATACTTAACATTTTAGAACAAGGATTCCATACATCCTACTTTGTCTCAGATGAAAATTGCACTAAACTGTGGACAATTATATACTATGTTTTATTGCCTCTAATAAATCTTATAATATACATTTAATCATTTTCCTTTACTTAACAGTGTATGCCAACAATATACTCTCTATTATTAATAACATCTAATTTTTATAGTCTAAATTTTTGGTAAAAAGCAAATACATAACCATGTTGTTGAGAATGGTTCTATTTATTTGTATATGTGTAGAATATTAAATGTTTCACAAATTGGCACAAGCCATAGTCTCATGACCTCTTAAAATGAGACTCTCACAATACAAATGTACATTTAGGAAGTGATCAAAATTCACTAGTAGAGGCATTACAGTATATGCAAAAGGATCTGCAATATCCTCTCAACTTATTAAAATTCATGAGACTTTTAAAATATCACCCAGCCTGAGAGAGGTGTAAACAGAAAAATCTATTTCAGAGAAATAAAAAGCTTACAATAAATTCACCTTGAAAATGGTTTTCTCCTATACAAATCCCGAAGTTTTTACCCCATTTATGCCAACAGTCATGTTAGAAAGGGTTTAATGCAGATAACTCTGATGTGTTTTATTTCTCAATAAGCTACTAGTGTTGATAAAATTATTTCAAATGTGCCTGCCAGGTGCTTCCCCAATGACTGATGGCAGCCACAATGCAGCTGTATACATAAACAAGCAAAGAAAATTCCCATCAATTTCCGAAAAAGTGTTACATCAGTATCCTTAGTGAAATCGAAGATGTTATCATCTGATGGCAGATATATGACTAAGACACCGGGATGGAGGTCTTCCCCAATTTCACATGCAGGAAAAATTTCTAGATCTGTTTGAAAGAATCTCCATATACTATTGAACTGTGAAACAGTGATGCTTCACCTTTATAACTGGAACATATTTGTAAGTGATTTGGAAAATTAGTGCAACCACTACAACAAATGGTTGAAAGGATAGGACAGAATATTCCTTTCATTTTAAACAATATCCTCTTACATGGCTCATTGGACACATGGGCATCAGTAGGTAACAGATAATTTGTTACAAGCACTGCAGTGGCACTTGGCTCAGAGCTGGGTCTGCCCGCTGCCATGCCTCCCAAGCTCAGCCTATACTCACTGTCCACCAGTAGCCACTTTATTTGTTAAATGGAAAATATTCCACAATTTTTCCACATTACAACTCCTACCTTAAGTCATGTTTCTTTCATCTAAAATATTCTCAGTTATTTTCAATCAGGAAGAAGAGTAAAAGGTAAGGAAAGAAGGGGACTAAAGAAAAATCAGAAAATTATATCATGAGAGACTATTCTCACTTTAAAATACTGCCCTGGTTTTGCAGAATGCTTCTAAGACAGGCAATTCATAACACACATGTTGCTAAATCTCTGTAGCCTGCAAAACTTCATTACTTACATAATCTCATTTAAATCTCCCAATAGGTGTTATTCCTATTTCTCTGATTAGGAATTGGAGACACAGAGTGACTTCTCTGACTTTATAAACCAAATCAATGAAACTAGATACTTGAATTCAGACTTTTAAATGCTTACCTTGGCTTTCATTTGCCAAACACCTGGTTATAGAGGCTAATCTAGAAAGATATTTTGGGAACTTTTATTATGCAAATATTTATTCTTTTGGTTAAGAATAAAGTAGAGTGCACACTGCTCCAATTATTAATGATTGACTGGATCTTTGGTTAAGGATAAAGTAGAGTGCACACTGCTCCAATTATTAATATTTAGAAAATCAAAGAAATTACTAAATTAATCTGTTAACTACCACTTGATTTTCAGAGTTTTAAATGTTTCAAATTTACTAAAATCAATTAAGTTTTATGTATGTGTATGCATGAGCATATGAGAGACAAAGAGATCTAGGTTTATCACATATCTGAGCATAATATGCTAAGTGTCTGGTCATCCAGTCATCTGTTCAACCAATCAAAGCATAATTTGCTAATGATATGCTAAGGGCCCTCAACCACTTGCTATGACGTGCACTGACCACCAGGGTGCAGATGCTCCGACCAGTAGGTTAGCTTACTGCTGAGGTCTGGCCAATTGGGCTGGACACACCCTAGACCCTCCCTCATCCCTCCCCAGGCCCGATCATGCACCAGTGGGTCCCTCAGCATGGCCTGTGACCTCTCCCTATCCAGGACCTTTCAGGGGATGTTGGGGAGCCTGTTTAGGTCCGATCCTGCAGGCCAGGCCAAGGGACCCCCACTGGTGCACAAATCCATGCACCAGGCCTCTAGACTTACCCTAAAGGGCCAAGCCCCAAAGCTCTGCAATCAAAACCTTCCACACCAATGCTTCTGCATGCCAACCTGTTTCCACAAACCCCATACAACTTGCCTTGAACCCTGGATCAGGGAGACAGACTTGAGCTGTCTCCTGTCTCCTTGTGTATCAACTTAGCAATAAAAGCTTTTTCTTTTCTCAAAAGCTGGTGCCATGGTACTGGCTCCTATATGCCTTAAACATTTGCTCTAAACTCTGGCTACTCACAAAATATTACTTAAGGACTTTCAAAATATAAATTCTCCAGAGTTGATGCTGACCAGAATAAAAATCCCCAGCATTTTGCCTAATACTGTGAAGAACACAATTTTAAAAACTGAATTTCTTCCTTCTTTTCCTCCTCATCTTCCTGTTTAATATTAATGGAATTGATTTTGGTCAAGGCTGCTTTTTAAAATAATTCAACTGAAATAGATTCCTCAAGTTTTAGTACTTTAATTTATTCAAGTGTAATAAATACACATAACTTTCCACTGGAATTGAAATAACTTAGGAGTAAATGGGTTAAACTTTTAAATTTTTTTCTCATAATAAAAGAAATAAGTGAATACAGATCTGTAATGAGTTTCAACCACTATATAATATGGGAAATTTCTTATATTACTGTTCCTATTTCTCTAGATTATTTCTTCATAATTTCAATATTTTACTCATATTGAACATGTCTCTCTTTAAATATGTTGTCAGTATCATTAATCTAAGTTCTACTTAGATGATTCTGATTATATATGTCTGGGAGTTCCTGACATCTACATTCTTTACAACCTTCTCAGGTCATTCAAATGGATAGCCCAGACTGAGACCCACCGCCCTAAGCCTTCAATAGGAATTTCAGTCTGAGAAAACGGTTTCTCACTCAACAAGAATAGATGGATAGAAATAGAGATGGTAGATGGATAGATAGACAGATTTCACAAATGTTTTTATTTTTTTTAAATATATTTTATTGATTTTTTTACAGAGAGGAAAGGAGCGAGATAGAGATAGAGAGTTAGAAACATCGATCAGCTGCCTCCTGCACATCCCCCACTGGGGAAGTGCACGCAACCCAGGTACATGCCCTTGACCGGAATCGAACCTGGGACCTTTCAGTCCACAGGCCGACGCTCTATCCACTGAGCCAAACTGGTTTTGGCGATTTCACAAATGTTTTTAAAAGAGAAATACTGACATGTGCATACATCTCAGCATGAAGGACAGTAATATTTCCATATTTAAAAATGTTTGGTCCTGAGAAAATGTATTAATGCACCATTTTAACAGTTCCAAAGAGAAAAACCATGTGAGTATCTTAACAGAGTCAAAAACAGGCTGATAAAAAATTTACCAACTAGCCCTGGCCGGTGTGGCTCAGATGATGAGTGTTGTCCTGTGCAATAAAAAGGTCACTGGTTCAATTCCTGGCCCCTGGCCAAGGTGTGTATGGGAGGCAACCAATTGATGTTTCTGTCCCTCCTTACCTTCCTCTCACTCTAAAATAAACTTAAAAATAAATAAATAAATACACTTATATTTTAAAAAAATTAATCAGTTATTCATTTCAAAAGTTTTAGCAAACTTGGGATGATGGGGAACTTGCATAAGGTTTCTAAAAGGAAAAAAAAACTATTATTGCAATTGGTAGCTCTTTTTATTATTATTGATTTTTAGAGAGAGAGAAGGGGGAGAGAAACATTGACCAATTGCCTCCAAAACACATCCTCACCAGGGATCAAACCTGCAACCTTTTGGTGTGAGATGATGCTAAAAAAATGTTTAGGGGAGGAATGCTCAGTATGGTGTCTAATGTGCTTTAGAGCTATGGCTGGTCTTCCATTTTCTTCTATTTTAAAAGAAAACCATATGTGTACCTTACCTTTCTCTTCATTTATAAATGGTCAGTAACTATTGGGTAGAGTTTCATCTAAACAACCCAGGTTGAAGCAAAACAGAAAATGGGACGAGCTTCCAGCAGGAAGTGATCTGCTCTGCCCAGCACTCATCAGCAGGTTAAGGCACTCCATTGGCCACAGACCTTTTCACATGAAGATATTAATGAAATATCTTCAATAGAAACAGTCTGAGGCAAGTAAAAGTGAGTGGGAGTAAAAATTGGAAACCTAAGTCAGGAAAAAAAATTTTTTTCATTGTATTTGTTAACTCATGGTTCAGGATTTGAAAACAATTTGTACCATTTCAGATAGATCAGACAAAAATATAGTAACTGAAAATACAGTGTTTAAAGAAATTATAGTATTCTATCATCTTTAAGTGATTTACACAATAATTATTATTTTTTTAATTTCAACACAGTTTTATTGAGAGGTGTTGTTTGCCTAGAAATACACTAGAACTTGGGGAAGAGCGCACATTCACTTTGAAAAGTAAGATTTTTCCCACCACTATGAGAAAGGCATGGTGCGGGGTGAGCACACAGCGGTGTGGATCTGTATTCCCACCTCCTTGCCCTTTTTTTGCATTTCTTTCTCATTTAGCAAGTGCCAGAGAATAATAACACAAAGACAAGAAAAACAAAATCCACAAGATCAACCTCCAACCAGGCCACACCAGGGCAGAAACGGTCAAGGGTCACACATCTGCAACTTTGTCAGCTGTGTGTCTTTGCTTTCCCACAGTGACTCACCCAGATATTCCCATCTTGATGATAAGGTTTCCAGTTCCTCCCAGTGTCACTGTAGAGCATGCGGTATTGGGTCACCCAGTCTGAGCTGCTGTATCTTCCTTGTGTTGCAATGGCACTGATCTGCTTCCGATTGCCAAAGTCAACCTGAAGCCATTGATAATGGTCACTGTCAGATGGAGACCATCCCCCGGCACCTGAACAAAGTAGAGACAAAGGGGGAGAATAGATATTTAAAGTTAAACTTCTATAATTGACAATGGATTATTTTTCGTCTTATAGTTGGCCTTGGCAGTGCTGTATTTCACACAGATATTATGAAATGTCCTTTACAGATGCCACTGGGACTTCCACTAATCTTCTTCCAGCTGGGTTACAGTGATGCTCTAACCTCTTTATGGTATAATTATGTGCTCATTTTCTCCTGAGCAAATGTCTTCATAATTCCTCAATTAGATCTTATTAGTACATGTCAAAGTCTAATTGGCTGAGGGTTGATCAGTTTACCATGAATTCTTCAACTCAAAATCACTAGGAAAAATATGACAATCTATTAATTCTTCACACAAGGTTTTATCTTTTAGTAGATTATAAATGTAACAAAACATAATTATACACAACTCTAAAATATATTTTGCTGTCAAAAGGTCAGAGTTCAAAGAACACTAGCTCTTAAGATGAGGCATAGTGTTACACAAAGCCCCTGTACTCATGAGAACTAAGTGAGTAAATCAGGCAATATGTTCACTAACTCTTAAGAAATATATAACCTATGACTCTTAATAATCACATTTCTAGGAAAATAATTCAAGTTGCTAAATGAAATAAAATTCTTTTGGCAAAATATAATAAATACTTGGTAAATAGTAAGAATGCAAAAATATTTACTAGAAAAATGGCACTAATATAGAACAAAAAGGGTCCTAATTTATACCACTATGTAAAATAACTGTGGTTGCACATAAATACATTACAGAAAATATGGCATAATGCTTGGTACTAACAGGCAACATAATTTTTTGAGTGAGTTTGGCTGCTAATGGGAGAAAATAAGAGAAAATATTTAATACATTATCCAATTCAGAGTACACCAAAATATATACATCATTTCCAAATAAGGAATTTAAAGGCTGAAAATAAATTTATTCAACGAGAACCATGCTAATAAAATCATTTTGTAAATCATCACAGATAGGTCATTCATTTAATGATGTTTATATGGCTTATTTTTGCTTTCAGCTATGATAGAATGGCTCTCCCACCACAAAAAGTCACAAACCTGACAAAGTGTATATTAAAATTACCCTTTTTGGAGATTGGACAACAGTCAGTGCAGGACCCTGATCCATGAGAGAAGATAAACAAGTGAGGTGAGCACTGCCAGTCCCTGGCTTTCTGCCTGGTTCACCTTCTGGATCACAGCACGTGAGGGAGCGGCCCAAATAGAAACAGCAGCATCACCGAGAAGGAGAGAAATCAGAAGCATGGCTTCTGTGGACAGAGTTCCAGAGAGATGCGGCTGTGCCAAGGAAGAGCCCCGAGAAGCTGCACGGGGCCACCAATGAGTTTCTACAGCTCTGGCTCTGGATGAAAACTGAGCTGTGTATTTGAAACCAACCTTCCTCAAGACCACATGGAGGGAGTTTTTCAAATGAGCAACCAGAGGATGCCCAGGGCTGAGGCTAGGTTGATTTCAGATGAGACAAGACTGAGCAAACTTGTTGAACAACCCTAGGTTTCAGTAGAGATCTCAGAAAGGGATTAGAAGAAGTTAGCTCTAAAATACAGGCTACCCTGCACACATCTGAACAAAGGTTGGTAACTAGCCTGAAGAAAGATCAACCTTACCCACAAATAAATAAGTCCTTGCTTAAACAAAACTCAACACTCCATTAGGAAGGCCATGGAAGTTTAGAAACTCAACAACATAGCATTTATAATGCCCAGTAGAAAAATTTTATAAAATACTAGACCTTTGAGGAAGCAGCAAAATAATGACTTATTACCAGAAAAAAGTCAGTCAATAGAAATTGACTAAAAAATGACAGAGATGATAAAATTAGCAGACCAGGACTTTAAAACAGAGATTATAAGTTAGTGCCATTTATAAAAAGATAATATATAAATATTGAAGACACAAATATAAAATCTTAATGGAGAAAAGAAAGAACAAAAATCAAAAACATGAAAGTTTTTGGACTAAAAAATACATCTGAAATAAAAACCTGTAATGGATGGACTTAACAGCAGATTAGAAGTTGAGGGGGAAAAAACCACTTTAGTGTACTTGAATATAGGGTCATATAAACCTTTCAAATTGAAGCTCAGAAAAGGCTTAAAAATGAACAGTACTCCACTAACATATAGGATAATATTGTGTCCTAATAGTCCTTCAAATGGAATACTAAAAGCAGAGAAAGTAGAAATTAGGAAGAAAAATTTTCATTTGAAGAAATAATGGTTGAAAAATATAAACCCAGATACATGAGAAATTTACCAGATTCCAAAAAGATAAATGAAAGAAAAACACACCAAGACACCTCATAATCAATTGGTAAAACAAACAACAAAAACGATGCTAATGAGAACATCTTGAAAGTAAGAAGAAGGCAATAACATCTCAGCAAAAACAATTCAGGCTGAAAGACAATGAAACAGCATATCTGAGGTGATGAAAAAAAAAAGTAAAAGAGAAGCTGCCAACAAAAAGCTCTATATCCAGCCAAAATATCCTTTAACATGAAAGCAACATAATGATATTTAGGACAAAAGTTGAGCAAATTCATCACCAGTAGATATTTACTATAAGAAATGGAAGTTTTCCAGCTCCAAGGTTAAATTACTGTATTGAAACTCATACTAGTACCAGTATATCCATGAAGAAACATACTGAACATGGTAAATATGTACATAAGTATAAAATATTTGGTCATGTTTTTAAATTTCTCAAAAAGATAATTGAGTGTTTAAAATAAAAGCAGTAACAATGAATTAGAGATGTAGAAGTAAAATGTATGACTATAATAGCACAAAGGATAAAAGGCAAGAAAAATATATACTGTATTGAGTTTCTTACATTTGAAGTGACATTATTTCATGGTTGTGAACGCTGGATCAAGGGCCAGCAAACTTTCTTTGTAAAAGGTTAAGTACTGAATGTCTTAGGCTCTGCATCTGTTATACCACATCTGTTACAAGTAGTAAACTCTGTTGCTGTAGCATGAAGTCATAGGTAATACAGTAAACTCTCCATTTTACAGACCTTGATTTAACGGACTTCAGATTTAATGGGTAAAATCTCTGATCTGTATGTCGTATGTGAAAATTAACACTCTGTTAATTTTAAAATCCTTTTAAGCAAAATTTGCTTATAATTAAATTAATAGGTTATTTTTGTTATTAATTCACTGTTATTTTTAACAAATTTTAGTGAATAGGCTGTATATTGGAAAAAACACTGTAGCAATTTATTTATAGTAAATAAATATTATATACTTACAACTATAGTCTACATATTTTAATCCAAGAGTCATCACTCATAAGCAAAGTTAGGGAGATTAGCATGTGATCACACAGCTCTCGTGGTAACTGGTTCTGTTGTCCCTCGGCATGACTTTTTGCAGCAGTTTTAACACGCGCAGGCCAATGTTTCCATGTGCACTAAGCCAAGCCCTAGCCATTTGTTTACTCTGGGCGACAGGTAAATGCATGCATTCACTAGACTTACTCAGTATAACTTTAAAATACAGTAATACATATAGAAAACTATCCTGTGAAATTAAACTTTTCATACATACTTTTGATTACACAAACATGCCTACATAAGTAAAAACAGGTAAACTAACTTGTCAATTTTTTTTAAAAAACAGGCATTCAGAAAATCTACTTTATTATATAATGGACTTGCAGCTTTAATGGACACCCCCTCACCCAATTTAGTCTGTTATATTGAGTTTGTACTATACATAATCAAAAGGTCAATAAAACTGGGAAAATACTGATTCTCCTTGAAGTATCAGCATGTTCCCTGCAAATAGCACTCCTGTGGTAGAGGCTGTGATGGGCCACTGAGGTCCGCCTTTATGACCGAGGACTTGGTGCCTCTGTAATTCCGTGTTGCCAGAGACACTAGTTAGCTGCAATTCCTCTTCAGGAATTTCCAGAACTAAAAAGAGGGATTTACCCAACGCCATGCACCTTCTTGGGGATTGTAGAGGTCTAGGCCCCTCGCTCCAACTTGGGCAAACTCCCTGCAGAACTGGTTGAAACCTTTGAGACGGCATTGCATCTCGACCTCTCCCCCTGCCTATTTCTTCTTCATCCCCTTCCCTTCCACAGGTCTCATCCACCTAACATTCCCTAATAAAGTCCTATGTGTTAGTCTCCATCTCAGAATTTGTGTTCTGGAAAATGCAGTCTGCAAAACCTCCTTGGAACCACTTTCCTGAAAATCTGCTCACTAGTGATATGAAGTAATTGTCTCTGCTTTCTACTTTGTGTGTTATTTGCATGTGTATTTTTTCCCATTGTAGTATCTAATATTACCTAGGGTAATATATCATCCACATGCAGACTTCACCTACAATTCTGTAAAATTTTGGAGGAGCAGTAAATATTTCAGATAACAATGTACCCAGTCATCAAGAGATTATAAATATATTTTCCTATCTGTTGGATATTTTGTTCCAAACTTAGGAGAAATTCTATATATAATTGTGTATAAAGGCCTATCAATGTGTTACAAAAGCAACAAGGTGGTTTGGCCATTGAAGTAAACAAGCAATTATTACGTGAGGGAAGAGAAAGAATATTCAACTGATCATTGAAATTTAGACTATTTCCTCTAATTAGTCCTGCAAAGAATATCGCAGAATACATTTCCTTATATTACCTATTTTTGATGCATTACAATTTTTCAATAAGGAGGCAATTAACATAAACTAGTTAATCCTATTAATCTCATCACTTTAAAAGAACAGAATTTATTGATAACTTTAAGAGAAGCAAAAATCTGAAACAAGTAAAAATATATGTTAAAACTTATTCCTTCCCAGAAGGGTATGTGGAGAGAATAGTGATTAACTTCAAGGGGAGGGCAAATGTCAGGCTTGCATGAGGAACATAGTGGGAAGATGGATAAAAAGTTTCCTGTTTCTCTTTGATCTATCAAGCAATGTAATTTGGGGAAGTTGATTTC